TTAAATTAAAGCTTCGGAGTAATCTGGCCAGGATTCTGACTTTGGAGAATTTTAACAAACTCCAGATTATGTCAGAAAAGATATCCCGTAAGATCTCGGAATTAATAACGATAAAACATGACGAAAAATTACTTAGATATGAAAGTATAAAACAACCTAGAGTAAAGCCAGTGAGCTTAGTTAAAGGGGCTTTCAAGGCGACGACATCTACTGAACTGTACGACGAAGTAAACAAGCTGGTTAATTTATCCCTGCTTTCCCTTAATCCGTAAACCACTACGATCCTTAAGAAAGGACTAAACTTTTCTCTTCAAAATGGCAGAAATATTATAAAGATAATTCTAGTTGAGGTCATAAATATCTCCGATAAGTTCTCTCAGGAGACAGAATGGGAAACGGAGATGGAAATACTCCATAGAATCGTGACTATTATGAACCAGTGCACAAGAACAGACTTGTGAGGATACGAAGGACCCTAGAAAGGAATAAACACTTGGTTCTTAAGGTGGACAAAGGATGAATGACAGTTATAATGGACAGAAAACAACATACAGAGAAAATGAAATGTCTATTGCAAGACAGGACTACCTATCGTCTACTAAGGAAGGACCCAACTATGAAGATCAATGAAATTTTACGGGGCATGTTGAAAGATATGCAAAGGAATGGGATGATCAATGAATGGACAATAGATTTACGAATAATAAGGATGTACGACCACCAACCAACTACGGGTTACCAAATCTACACAATGAAGGGCAACCACTAAGAATGATAGTTAACAAGTTTGGAGCAACAAACAAATTGGCCAAGTCCGTTTGTCTAAAACTTAAGAAGGTAAACGGCAGATTGTGAAATACAGTGAAGCACTCATAAACATTTTTTCAGAAAACTAAAAACATAATACTGGAAGAAAAATAATTACTTGTAAGTTTTGTTGTTAAATATATTTACACAAATATTTCTGGAGAAAAGGCGCTGACAGCTCTGTTAGAAATTTTTGATCGAGAGGAGGATAATATAGGAGCAGAGAGAATCAGAAGGAAGTCGCTAACATGATTAATCAACTTGACGATAAGTAGTACATACATCATATTCAATAGCAACTTCTATAAACAAAAATTTGACTTCTTATGGGATTGGAAGAATGCAGAATCAGTGATAAATTTGCCTATTGCGTAATCAAACTAGGAGAAAATAGGAATGCAACACGACAAGCAAAAAGGAGACGTCTGGTTCAAGGATCTATCGTATACCAAAGAAAAAGGAATAGCAAGGAGGAAAACGATGAAGAGGTTTCGGAAATGAAGCGAAGACGTTTTCAGGAAGAGTAGTTAGCTCGAATAGATAACTACAACTTGGGGACTATAAAGAGGGATTGGGTCACAGGAATAGGGCATTGTGACCAAATATACTAATAATCCACTTGAGATGCAGCAGACGAAAAGAGGTAGATGTCCACAGTTTGTTCAGAATACACGGGCTTAATCGAGGAGATGATGCGTGAAGGTAATGCCTAATATCAACAGGTATGTGAATCAGAGCCTCTGAGAGCTCTGAAGATATTGCAACATTGTACGTGCTACTGAAGGTCTGAGAAACAGCACCTGGAGTAAAGTACGCTGGGGCTGGAACCGAGTGAAATCGGTCAACCAGAAAGATAAGAAATGAGCCCAAGGGCCCATGAAGCAGATCGGGACAAGAGGCTAGAGACGGATTATCCACTCGAAGGAGAGGCCACGGTAAATTCCTGTGGAATATAAACATGTCAGAAGTTGTGATAAGACGAGGGCGAGACTAGAGGGTAGGAAATAAAATAGGGATCAGAACAAAATGAAGAGTTATAGCATAACCGTCTCGACAGAAAGTTGGTCAATGGATTGACTTCACTGGTCTCTTTAATGAGTTGTAGTTTGGTTTGCTGCCCATAGCTGACCATTTCACAGACCAAAGCCAATTCTACTAACTGTAATAAACCGAATAATACAAAATATCTGCTTTTTCCAGGTTATAAAGTGATCCCAAAAGTCCTTTTGAGCCACCAAAACCAGCTTCAAATAATAGTTACTGAAACAAAAACTGAAAAAAGATATCTCAGCAGAGTTATTAAGGCCAGTATCCCTTTTGCAGGAACAATCTAAGTATCCAAATAACTATATCCTAAGAGTATAACACAGGCACATTGGTCCAGTACCTTTCTACAGTGAATTCGTACTTTATCCAAATATCGCAGTTTTAATATGGCAAATGAATTTAAACTTTTCGCTGTTTGTATGCTTGCTAATTCCGTGAATGTGTATAGGTAGCCGATAAACATCTTCTGATTTAAATAGTGTGATAAATAAAATTAAGGAACATTGTCCTGGAAAACTCAAGCATCGTCCTGCCCACTTGGAAACATGGGTCCTGAACATACATTTTGAAAAAGATAAAAGCAGAATAATATTATAAAAGATGAATTCACTCTATTTTGTTTAAGGTGATGAAACCGAAACCCTAATTATAAATGAATTTATAAAGTCAGAAAAACATAGCTAGCCGAATAAATTACATTTTGAGGTTTTATAGCAATCTCTTAGTTAATCTTACATAAAATTGAAGAAGCTAGTTCACAAAGTTACAGAACAAATTCCTATTTACACTCTAATTCTATCAGAAGAATAGTTATCATTTTTCTTATCAAAGTAGATGTGGGGCAGGAATCTTTGAAAATTTATAAACACATATGGGTAAGGCTAACCTCATTACAAGAGAAGCTTGGCGATGGTTTTGTTGGCAGATTATTAGAGGCAATGATCGAGGCAGGTTGTTGAAGAGCCGGAGATGTAACAAAAGGCATTAGAGCAGGGCCAGATAAAGAAACAGGTTGGTTAACATCAAAAGCGGAGGTTATTTCCCTTGGCATTTCGTTCTGCTGCATTGTCAAGTTGGACATGGAATAGTCATCATTGAGTTTTTGGTGAAATATATCAGTATTCGATTCTTGCTGGTGACTCTGAATAGGAGCCGTATTAGAGGAAATCGAAAATGAATTATTTTGAAGCAGAGTTTGGTGAGTCGCAGAAACAACATCATAGATAGATGATGTCTGGGAGTTGCCAAGATTCACTGTTGAGTCCGAAGTGCTTGTTGACACACCCTTGTCAAGGATTTTTATTGTAAAAGGAATTAAAAAAGGATAGAATTGTTTAAAAAATGGAGATAGGGAAATAAGCTAAAACATAAAGGAAGTGTCGGCCTATCCGCCAAAGATAAGAGAAGCACAAAAATGCTTGTAATGGCAGCCGGGTCGAAATATCATAGGTGGCTGAGCAGAGGGCAGAGACTGGATAAGAGATAGAATGGCCTCAGATTCAGAGGATTGCTGATTACAGATAAGATAGGTTTTTGACAATAATGGATGGAGGATAAAATGGATGTGGAAATTAGTAGAAAATTGAACAAGAATTAATCATGATTGATCTAAAGATTAAAGAAGAAAGACGGTGTTAAGCAACCGTTCAAAGATTGCGACTCAAGTTGTCAGCTGAACAATGACTCATTCAACTGACATTAAGTTAATCGACCAAAAGAGACGTACGAGATTAAGTAATCCCAGTTATGCTTTTTCATATGCTATTAAGCCTTAGTGACCCCAGACTAACGGGTTCTGACTTGGTTTCGTAACCTGACTCTTACGTGTATAAACTTACATACCATCAATTCAATCAGAGTTATGCAATCTCGGTCGTGTTTTTTCCTTTAAACATTAAGCTTTGATGATCCTAGGCTGACAATAGGCCTACTCTGAGTCGTGGCTGGTATTGGGTACAAACATCAACGCACACAAATAA